TAGCACCTGCCAGCACTGGGCTGATCCATCTGTCACACAGGGACAAAGCTCCAGGACAGTGGGAGTGTGATGAGGCCATTGAGGTGTTGAATAAATGCATGCGGGAGGTGGACCAGATCTCCCTCGCTGCCATCAGCCAGCAGCTGGCCCCCCGAGAAGATGTCTCCCAGGAGGTGGGTTAGGGACATGCTGCTGCAAGCTCAGCTGGGGCGGGTGTCCTTCCCCCTGGCTCCCAGCAGTGCACGGTGACCCTGGCCCCACTGCAGCCTCACACAACACCCTCTCTTTGCAACAGGCTTTGCACAACCAGATGATCACGGCTGTTCAGGAGATCAGCAACCTGATCGAGCCTGTAGCCAGCACGGCACGGGCCGAGGCCTTGCAGCTGGGTCGCAAGGTAATGCAGGGATGGAGAGCTGCTGACAAGGTGCTCAGTGCATGTGGAGGAGCTTGTGGCAGGAGGAGAGGCACGAGGCAGCTGGGTCTGGAAGCTGCTGACGCTGCTCTTCCCTAGGTGTCCCAGATGGCTCAGAACTTTGAGCCACTCCTTATAGCAGCTATCAGCACCGCCTCCAAAACACCCAACCACCAGCAGCAGATGAATCTCTTGGACCAGACCAAAACGCTGGCTGAGTCTGCCCTGCAGATGCTGTATATGGCCAAGGAAGCTGGTGGGAACCTGAAGGTGAGCAGTAGGGGCACGTGTTGACAGTGTGCTCACCTTCACCCATGGGTGCTGCATGAGAGGCTCGTCTGTGTGCCGCACACGTGTATGCCAGATACAGAAACCTGGCCGGGGCTGCTGTAAGTGTGCAGCATCCCTGGTGGGAGGGGAGCTGCTGCCTGCTTTCCCTCACTCTGGCTCATCCTTGCAGCAAGCTGCCCACACCCAGGAGGCTCTGGAGGAGGCCATGCAGATGATGAAGGAAGCGGCAGAGGACCTGACCACCACCCTGAACGAGTCAGCCAGCTCTGTGGGTGTCGTGGGGGGCATGGTGGACTTCATCACCCAGGCCATCAACCAGATGAGAGGAGTGTGGAGAGGACCCGGCCCGGGCTTGGGGGTAGAGGAGAGTCGGTCAAACCCTACAAGGTCTCTGGGCTGGAGCTGGAGCCAGACTCTCCTGATGGTCTCTTGCAGCTGGATGAGGGGGCCGATGGGTGAGCCAGAGGGGACCTTTGTGGACTACCAGACCACGATGGTAAAGGCGGCCAAGGCCATCGCAGTGACTGTGTAAGAGATGGTGAGTGCAAGCAAGCCTGTCGACACAGAAAGCGGTGCCTGCCACCCAGGCAGGGCAACCACCCTCCTTGCTTGCCCGTCCCAGCATAGGGTCCCTCCACCTCCTGCTCTTCTTCCATCGGCAGGTCACCAAATCCACCACCAACCCAGATGAGCTGGGCATACTGGCCAACCAGCTCACCAATGACTACAGACAGCTGGTGCAAGAAGCCAAGCCGGCTGCACTCACTGCCAAGAACGAGGAGGTGTGAGCGTGGGGTGTACCATGGGGCAGAGCCGG